ACTGGACCGGCTGTCCTCCTGGTGTGACAGTCCTGTATCTTAACCACTGGACCAGCCGTCCCCCTGGTGTAAAATCTTTTTAACCATATTAATCATAATAATAAACTGTCCAGCTAAAAAAATGAATCAGGAACAGTAGGTCAAGAACTGATCTGAAGGAGTTGGATTTGAGAGCTACAGTATAAACCACACAATGTAAATCTCTCCCTGCCCCCTTGACTACAGCCAGGAGCGTCTGCCAGCAACGACAGAAGTCATCTATAATTGATCCCTTGGGACTGTAAGAGACTTAACCAGCTGAAAGGGAATTTCGAAACTGGTTTCTTCGCTAAGCAGCAGGTCATCTAGGGAAACCACATCAATATGAGGGATAAAGACAGCGGCAGGTCTGTTTTCGGCAAAGGGGGTCGCCTCCCTATCTTCAGATTAATCAATACGATTATTTATTTCCTCTCCGACCGCCTAATTTTCGCGACCGGGGTTGTGAAGGACTGACCAATCAAGCAACTGCTCCCACACTCGAAGAGCAGGTGCTGCGCTCAGTTAAAAACAAAAAAGACACCCAAAACAAGAGGGGCCGTCGTGTATTAAAATATTTCAAACGTGCTGAGCTCAGCCTGGCAGGCGGTAACCGGCCCAGGGGATAATGGACCGGGCCGACACCGAGGCGAAACAGAACCCATCCCTCACACACACAAGAACACTAACTAGCAAAATGAAAAATGACAGACTGAAACGGTCGAACATGTGTGTGTGGAGTCGTGTCAGGTGAACCTCAGAACAGCCAAGCCGGATCAAAACAACGAACTATCTGCACATACAGCGCCATCAGAAGCAGTGACGTCAGAGTGGTACACACAAATCACCTATCGAAACATTTATGAAATTAAAGTTAAAACGACACAGCTCATTCACATTCACGTCGCCCGGGTCGGTGGGGCTTTTATTGAAACTCGCCTTCCGTCTACGGCCAACATGACGCGGTTATCGAGAGGATGGCTGCAAGACAGGTGAACAATACTGTTCGCTGCCGTCTAATCTATCGAAGTCCCAATATTTCCTGTTTGCCCCGGCTTTCCCGAATCATGGATAGGGAGACAGCGGGCGAGCGGAACGGAGACGTTCCTCTCTCGGAGGTAGGTTCCGCACCTGCCCCCTTGCCCGGGAAATTAGAAAATACTAATTCAAAAACACTAACGCAGTTTAAAAAATAGAATAAAACATACCCACGACAACCTCCTACAGAAACACCGCCATTCCCCCCCCCACACACTTCTAGAAAAACTTAAATCGGGTCAAATAGCAATAAAATTATCATCTTTAATTTCCGTTCAGGGCTTTTTTTTTTCTTCTATAGGGTCCAGGCGAAAACGCCTTCAAGACGGACTGTCAGCTTTTTCCCCCCGTGTCCCGGCACCCAGACGAGAAAGACTCGCTTGGTCTCTCTTCTGGGCTCTATCGATTTCAAACTGACCAGAAGCAGGTCCGTTCAGACAGCGGGCGTGTTATTTAACAAAAGGATCGGACTGTCTGGGTCGCTGTGCGTTAAAGACTGGGTGGGGTAGTGGGGGCTTAAGTCTTTGTATGAAGTCAGCAGATTGAATCCAGTTTGTCCCATTTTACGCCGGCCGGTATCCCGTTTCTTCACCCCGGGGCGCTAGGATGTGACCGCATCCCGAAACGCGTGTCTCCCGGGGGTGTCACCCTGTTACACGTCTGTGCCGGAACCCTGTTTACGGGCCGGAGAAGGTGGGCACCGCGCGAGGGGGTGAGAACGATTATGGGGGGGCACGGCTCGAGACAGGCCGCTGTCAATAGTCCTACATGCAGCTATGGCAACTAGTTATCGATCTGACAGTCAGGCGCGGACTAGGACACCGCACGCACCTCGTTACATTGGGACCCTAAATATATACATCTTCTCCCAACAGCTTGACAGGCCGGGAACACCGCTTGAAATATAACCCGTGGATGAAAGACAAGACTGTGCTCGCGCTGCCATGTTTCTTGAATGTCCCCATAAATTAGCTACATACACACACATACATGCATGCATGCTACGTTGCATACAAGCAATCTACTATTGTGGTTACGTATCCCATTCAGCAATGACCCAACGAACTGACACAGCCGGCCTGTTTTCCTGGCGCCGAGTTAAATTTGCCTCTCTCATTTACAGCACGCCTCAGACGCCCTACGTCAACATTATTACTCGGGCGATCTGTGTTATACCTATGGAGATATACCGTACCTAGATAATGGATATGTGTGCGGTGACTCACGGCCGTGCAGTCACGCCGGCTGCGGTATCTGCTTTGTGGTTCTTTGTGGTTGGGAAATAGCTGAGCCGACACGACGCTTCACACAGTACGCCATTCACCTTCACGTAACTGCGCTGGTACAGTCACCCTCGGTGGCAAACGGGGCCAGGCGGAACAATACCGGATCGCACAGGAAAGCCAGGAGAAACGAAGACGTACCTGCACTGCCGTAGGACTTCGTCAGAATCCAGCCCAAACTGGCACATATTCTGGCTCGGGTGAAATCGTACTGATCCAGAGGCTTAATCTCCGGGACCGTGAACGTCTTCCTCATCGCATTTGAATCCACCATAGCAAACAGGAAAAAAAAAAAACAAAGCTTTCTGGTTGGGAAAAACGGTGAGGTAGGGACAGGGTTAGGGGAGAGGGGAGGGAGAGAGAGAGGGGAAGGCACAGCGAATTCAGATCTCCAGGCGATCGTGCTACTCCATTCGGAGCCGAAAAACACACCGGGTCTCCTTCCTTCTTCGTCCTGGAGAAGCACAGACGGGAATCATGGAAAAAAAACCACAGCTGTCGTGTTTTAAGAGTCTCCCTTGAATCCTGGATCGAGCCGTCAGCATGTAGATTTCCAACAGGAGTTTCTGCCCAGGGAGGTGGTGGGGGCGGGCGGCGGCAGCGGTCTGTCCTTAACAGTGAAAATCCTGAAAATCCCCCACAGGGCTCGTCTGACAAGCTGGCTGTGTGGCGAGGCGACGGTCGTAGGTTTTATTCTTCATTCAGCCCCCCGTTTCTCCGCCCGTCCATGATCTACGGTTTATTGCAATGTCTCGCCTGATCCTTCGCGTGAAGAGCGCCGCCTGCGTTCCAGGTGCTCCCCGCGCACGTCACTCACCCTGCTCCCAGCCAATCCGGGTGCTGCAGCTGGAGCTAGCCGGGCAGGGGGGCGGGCTCTAGCGTGTGAAAGCCGAACGCGGGCAGGTAGGGGGGCTCAGCCGGAAAAAGCCGATCACGTTACGAGTTCTTTCCCCGACAGTCAGGTGCAGTACAGGTCAAACTCGTATAGCATACGGGATTTTCCAGTTCCTCGTCAAAAGTCTACCACGCGTCCCCGAACAGGGAAGCTGTTTAACTAGTCCCGGGTGGGATGTCGAAGGGAGCCTTTAAGTACAATGATATTTAAATGAGAGAAATTGCGCCCGCACCCTGCTTTTCTATAAAGAATAGATACACGAGGTGGGGGGTGGGAAGGAGAGACGGGGTCATTGGGGGGGGGTTGGTCTCGTTTCTGCTGATCAGCAGCTTATCTCTTCCAGCTGTTTCTTAAAGAGCCCACTTCAGCAACATGGCCAGGGGTCCTGTGGCAAACCCCTACCACCCTTTGTGTAAAGAGGCCCCTCCTGCTCCACGCCACACAACGTCACAGTCTGCCTCAGGCGTGTGAAGACATACCCAGTAGACATTCACCAGGGTGTGCTTGTGCACGCAGGGGCGAGAAAAGCACATCGCTTCGCTACTTCATGATCAGTGATTCATGATGGCAGCCCCCCTGCCTGCTGCCGCACACTCCTGCATGCCTTAACACCACAGCACCTGCAGCCTGGCGTTTCCACTGGTCTCCCAGTGCCCGTGAGTGAAACAGGCTGCCGTATGTGGGCACGCGTTGTGGGGGTAAGATCTTAACTCCCCCTCCGCAGGCTGCGGACCAGGGAATGGGCCTGCAGCAGGTGAGGCCGTGCCAAAGTTCGGCCTCTCGTATTTCTCCCTGGGTTTGTTCCCTCAGTTCTCCCAGCTTGTTTTTGAGCGGATATACTGATGCCTGTTCTCGAAATTTATTTCTGAATTGCATTTTCTAGAGCAACGGAGAGCCTTAATCAATCCTCACCCTTACCCCCAACACACACACACACACCCCTCTCTCCTGTTAGGACTGGAATTCCTAGTAGCCTTACAGAAATCACATGATATCTTTAGTGGGGGAAAAAAAATCTTTACAACAATTTTTCTAAGAGGATTAAGGGAGAAAGTATTTTAATCTTATTAGATTTTTTTTTAGCGCTTTCATGTTCATTTCCCTCCCCATCGACAAGTACTCCTTGTAGCATGCTCTTTACTACGTTTTAGAGTGAGCACTAGGCGGAATTTGTTCATTATAATCCTTTTGAGATAATCTGGAAGAAATCTGTAACTTGCAGAACTGCTACACCTACACCTACAGTGTGAACACGTTCTACAGGGCATTGTATTGTATCAATGCATTGTATAGCGGGCAGAGCTAATTAATATTCCTCTGACTCACACTTAACAGGCACACCAATAGCCCTGAAGGGTGTGTCGTACAAGATCCACTCTGAGTCCCAGGCCAACAGCTGTCTCTCACTGCGAGTAAACAGGGAGATGGCAGAATTAGACATCTATGCAGTCGGTCCTGCTTTCTAACTTTGTGAAATGAGCAAAACTTAAGATTTATATAACACCATAGGTACAATGCATGCATATGCGTTACACGGTGAGACACAGGAATTCACTTTCACTTTATTTGTAGCAGGTCCTGGTCCTGCTGCCCCACATACCTGCTAGTTGCAATTCCAGCCGAGCTGAATAACTTGACTGAAACCCTACCTAAGGTAACTTTCCTTGTTTGGGACATTTGCCTTTTTACTTAAAAATGCAGATGCACATCTGATATTTGATTCTGAAATGCAATAGTTAAAAGGTGACCTTCAACAGGTGTTAAAGAGCTGAAAACAACCAAGCAGTCAGCACGCACGGTCTTATGAAGTGTGTTAAGGGCTCAGTGGTGTAAGGGTGTAACGGAGAGCTCAGCGCAGCGGGAATGCAAACCAGCAGCAGTGTGTGAGCGCCAGGACCTGGACCGGGAGCCCCTGGCTTGAAACACAAGCTCCTCAGGGGCTAGAGGCCATAAAACCAGCCCAAATGGAGGAGCTCATCTGACACCTGCACACCAAGAGTGGCAGCTGAGTGGAGCACGTGTACCAGTTTCATGAGAACCCACCCAGGAATCAACCCGGAGACAACTCTGCAATCTTTCTTTGCTTTATTTATAAAACAAGAAGATCATCAAATTGGTTTTCTTTAAACAGGAAGAGCTACTTCCAAATCATGCAGCGATTTCAAGTGGGTTGAAAAAAAGAGATCACCTTTAATGCAAACTTTATTTAAGAGTAAAAAAATACGTATTTGCAGACATACTAGTGACATTCTGAAAATCCTGCTGTATGTTTGTTGTTAACCCCGATTTTCTTACACACTTTTCTTACAAATCTTAAATATGTAAATTAGCTGCTTTTTAAAGACTTGTTATTGTACTGTTCTCAGTACGCAGCCACTGGACACACCACACTTGCCCAGAGTTTTTTTTCTTTTTTTTCCTTCTTGTGCGATTCCCTCTCAATTCCCGTTTCCCACGAGTAAATCCTCGCAGCACCGCAGCATCGCAGGATCAAAGAAGATATTTTTGGGAATCCCCACCCCCACACACACACACAGAGTCATGTTGTTTTGGTTCTCAACTTCAGAAATCCTGTCTGAATCCGGCGGCTCTGTACATGTCTGCTACGACAAGGGCGACCTCTAATGGTCATATTGAGCAGTACAGTGAAAGGGTAGGACCAGTGCTTATTTTCACAGGGAGGGAAAGCACACATTGAGCAGGTCCTAATCATCTACAGAAAACTAAACGGATATAAACATATGTTGGCGCCAACGATCAATAAACCAATCTTCGAAATGGCAACCCCCCCCCCCCAAACAAAATCAAGTCCTAACTAGAAAAGGAGAAAGCTTCATTTTTTACATGTTCTCAACTCCTTTGATACCAATTTTTTTTTTTAATCCACTAACAGGTATTTTAAAAGGATGCACCTGACAAACATCTTCCAAATAAAATCTTACTGTATCAAAATGGATTCCCATCCCAAAAAAAGCAGTGGAACTGTACAGTTTGTCAGCCACAGCCAACAGATATCAGCTCTTGAAGCCAAGTTGCACTAAGTCCTGCAGTGTTCAGTGTTGTGCAGGGGTGGTGATCCACCTCTTGTGTCTTCGCTGCTCACTTTAACACGTCGAGCGTCTGCATGGGTGCATGGCGCGGGTGTGGCTGCGCTGGCATTGCCAGGCCTCCCTGCATGTCCTGCGTCTTGCCGTGATGTCGGGCTCCCAGCTGAGCGCATTCAGTCATCCTTTAGCCCCCCGAACACAGCGGACGGCACGCTCTTCTGCTCCAGCTGCACCTCTGTGGACAGAAGCAGGAGCCTGTGATTATTATCAGCCACTAATCTCATCACTCCTAGTAGCACAGACAGCAGGCTCTGGAGCACAGTGTGGGAACTAATCAATTCCATCTTCTAACCACTTTACCCAATACAGGGTCACGGAGGCAGCTGGAGGCTATCCCAGCAAGCACCGGGCTCCAGGCAGCTGGAATTGAACCCAGTGACGAGGCAGCAATGTTAATCGCTGTGACCTAATCCAGGCACTCCTAACTGAGTCTGGCTGGACCAAGAGTCATCTTGTACTCACCGTCAGGCTCGTGATCCTCACCCCCCTCGTCTTCATCATCGTCGTCAATATCGATCTCATCGGGATTCGCCAGCTTGGACAGCTCCGCCAGCTCGCTGCGGGACGTGTCGCTTCTGCACAGACACACCCTTCGTCAGGCCAATGCTGCCGAAACCTGACCCTTCGTGAGCACAGCACAGCACCCCCTGCCCCACCCCAGAAAAAGACCCTTCCAGAGAGCACCCCCAGGACACGCCACCCATCCTGCAGCCCCGTCCGCTTCCCACATTCCCTGCTGACTGCCTGCCTTCAGCTGAGAGCAGAGCACGTTTTTATCTGAGCCAAGGAAGATTTGACATTAAACCATGAGCTCTCCGTTGACAAACGCACATCCTGGAGGCACCAGTGCCTTCTGGGTTTTGTGCAACGAGGCACAGTCGCTTAAACACACTATTATTTTGTTAGCTAGACTGAGGATGTTCTATAAGGCCTTTTACTGCTGATTATTCACACCAGTTAGCTCACACAGACCAAGGGCTGGGTCACTGGAGCCTGGCACAGCAGGCCGGAGGCCTGTGACACTGCAGCCCGGAGGCCTGGGACACTGCAGCCCGGCGCAGCAGGCCCCTGTGCTACACCTGCTAGATCAGAAAATCTGGGACTGGCCTGGGACACTGCAGCCCGGCGCAGCAGGCCCCTGTGCTACACCTGCTAGACCAGAAAATCTGGGACTGGCCTGGGACACTGCAGCCCGGCACAGCAGGCCCCTGTGCTACACCTGCTAGATCAGAAAATCTGGGACTGGCCTGGGA